CCGGGAGACTGGCGCATGCCACGGAGCGCCCCTCGGGCCGCCGCCGCTCCTGCCCGGGCCCCTGTTGTTGCTGCTGTCGCCTGCGCCTGCTGCCCCAACTCGGCGCCCGACTTCTTCATGGTGTGCGGAGGTCATGTTCGCTCCTTAGCCGGCAAACGACTTTTCTCCTCGCCTCCTCGCCCCGCATGTTCAGGACCAAACGATCTGCGCTCGTCCGGCGTCTCTGGAGGAGCCGTGCGCCCGGCGGCGAGGACGAGGAGGAGGGTGCGGGAGGAGGCGGAGGAGGAGGCGAACTGCGGGGAGAAGGGGCGACGGACGGACGGGCGCATGGGGCTGGTGGCGGTGCCGGCAGGGCTGGCTGCTGCCTGGGCAAGGCGGTCCGCGGTGCCAAAGGTCACCACCATCCCCACCCCCAGGCCACCGGCGCCGGCGCGGCCGGGGGCGCTGAGGCAGATCTGAAGACACTCACGCACTCGGTGCTCAAGAAACTGAAGGAGCGGCAGCTGGAGCTGCTGCTCCAGGCCGTGGAGTCCCGCGGCGGTACGCGCACCGCGTGCCTCCTGCTGCCTGGCCGCCTGGACTGCAGGCTGGGCCCCGGGGCGCCCGCCAGCGCGCAACCAGCGCAGCCGGCCTCGTCTTACTCGCTCCCCCTCCTGCTGTGCAAAGTGTTCAGGTGGCCGGATCTCAGGCATTCCTCGGAAGTCAAGAGGCTGTGTTGCTGTGAATCTTACGGGAAGATCAACCCCGAGCTGGTGTGCTGCAACCCCCATCATCTTAGCCGACTCTGCGAACTAGGTAAGAAGTTGTCCCGTGTCTGCCCCCACCCATGGCGCGCTGGCAGTGGAAGAAAAGTATCCTTAAGCTGCATTTGTAAGCTTGCATCTACCTCTCCAGGGGGAGAGTACATTTCCTCCTAGTGGAGATGGAGGGACTAAGGCAGAGAAAGGACCCGGGAAACTCAAAGGGCATTCCTTGGGGGTTCCCTTTAAGGCTTTCTTCTGTCGCCCCGAGGGTGTCCCTGGGGCACTGCTATTGCGCACCTTGTACGGATATGCGGCTAAAAATTAGACTCACCCATTTCCGGATCATCAAGGGGATGCTGAGAGAAGTGGGGGTCACGCCTCCCCCGCACCCGGAAAGGCGGTGAGGTGTGTGGCCGAGTTGGATTGGGTCCAAGCCCGCCAAGGAAGGCTGGGAGAAGCGAGTTATAAAAGCTGGAAAGTGTCCACTCCTTTAGTAAATAAGGAGACTCATATCGGGCATAAGTGGCCCAGATACTGCTCTGGCCGCACAGCTGTGGAGTTTTAGGGGTAGAGGGTTAGGATGGGAGGCCGAACTGGGTACTTTTCATCTCTGCCAGCCCCGGGGTGAAAAGGAGCCAGCAGGCAGAAGTTGGGTGCCTTTCCTTTTTCCCTTTTTCGTACAGAAAAGCATATAACTAATGCTGTCTGGAAAGGTGGACCCCAGAGACTCGATGACATTGCTGTCCCGTAACTGCGCAGGAGCTTAGGTTTCAAGCCTGAGACCCCAGAGCCTACCCCTGTGTCTTCCTAGATCCTCTTTTTCGTGTCTTTAGGCGCGTTGTGAGGTTGTCTTGCATCCTGGCGCCCGCAGATTCCCCCAAGTTCATCAGGACACTAGGGGCGCGTCTCCCAGGGGCCCTGGGAAAGGGGAGTCTCAGGTGCCCAGCCGAGCAGCCGAGGGGCGGAGGTGAATCTCGCTCAGGGGGCGGACGGGCGCGGGGAAGGGCGGGGGGAGCGAGGTCTGGAGTTCAGGACGGGAAGGGGGCCCGGGCGCCCCCAGCTCCGTGAACTGTGAAGTGCGCGGCTGCGGCTGAGCCGGTGGTTTCCAGCCGGGCCCGCCGAGCGCTGGGGCGACGGCCGCAGACGTGGAGGAGCGCAGAGCCGAGGCTGGCGCCAGGCGGCCTCTTTTGTTTATCTGACAGCTAAATATCAAGGCAATCACCGCCTCGCGGCCCTGCCTCCAACCCCCACAGCTAAGACAAACAGTTGGGCTAAAAGAATGCCTCTGTTATCATAAGTTTCTATCTCTCTTTCTCATGGTTGGGCCCTTATGTTCTCTTCCTTTTTTAATTCCAGAGTCTCCCCCCCCTCCTTACTCCAGATACCCGATGGATTTTCTCAAACCAACTGGTGAGTAGATGACTTTGAAAATACCTTTTCTGTCTTCAGTTTAGAACCGGAACCTCTAGAACCCGGGTTTTTAATATCTGTGTGGCGCCCGAGGGTGCTAGGCTCGCTCAAGCTTCCTCTCTCGGAACTTCGGTACATTTTTCTGTTGTGGCTGAGTGCGCCCCCCCACCCCCAACATTTCCTAGATAATCCTTTACATTTTGTTCCTTTTTATGTATTTGGGCTCTGTGACCAAACTTAGCTCAGCTTTAACACATGGAGGCTTTAATCCATGCAGAAGTGTCTTGTGCCAAATAGGGCAGGTTGTTGGGAAAATTTGGAGATTTTGTAAGTGCCAGAAGAATCAGTGGGCAGAATGGAAAGGGTGATGAGATGGAAGACAGTTTCCGAAGGGGCAGAGGGGGTTTTGGTTTGGAATAAGATGCTAGCATGTTTAAGCTTTGGCAGGAGATAGAGGGAAGTAGGTTCCCCTCTCCCAGTCACCAGTGATTCAGTCCCCTCCTGGGGTTTTCTCAGAATTCTTCGCAGGGGCTATAAAAGTTTTTAGCATAGCTCTGCCTGCCTGTTGCTTTGTCACCGGATGGCTTGGGGCCAGGGCAGAAGCCCATTTGAGACTGGCAGCAGCCCTGTTGCGGTTGTCTGCATTCAACTTCTGGCTGGCAGCACAGAGAGGCCCATCCTTTGGAGCTGACAGTGCCAGGGGACAGGGTCAGCAAAACAGATTGGGGATGACAGAAGGGACAAGTCCTGTTTCCTGGAGCCCCTTCTTACAGTGGGAGTTCATTTGGTAAAAGTACAGATTGTAACTTTGGTTTTTCTGCCTGTATGCGGGTGGCTAAAAAAATGGAACACTTGTGACATTTGTATTTTGCCAAGGTTTGGGGAGAAGGAGAAGTGAAGGGGTGAGCACCATTTAGCTCCTGGAATTAATTCCACAAGTCCTTCCGCCTCACGAGTTTTGGCTGATGGACCTTTCCCCCCACTAATTAAAAGTTTTGCTGGGGCGTTGTCATAAATTAAATACTTTAATGAACGTGTAACCGAAGCCCATGCTCTTGCAGCCAGCCCTCCCGGGACTCCAGCTCTCTTAAGTTAGGAAGGCATTCCTGCTTGCCTGGTGCTTGTCTAATAAGTGGCCAGCAGAGCATGTGATATTTTGCTTTCAATTTACAAAACAACAGATAAATGGTCATTAATGAGGAGATAACCAGCTCTCTGAATTTGTAACAAAAGTTAACTGGCATTTACCAAGCTCTATGTTCCTAAAGAATATTACTTGCTGGATTTTTTGGCAGAAAGAATTAAAAATTCTTCTGTGGGGTTAGTTCTCCAAGGGAAGAACTGTTTCATAGTCTTCAAATTTGAAGGTTTTCTTAAAAAGGGACAGAAGTTTCCATGGCCCAGGGGTAAAGACTATGGGGTAAATGCCTGCCTGGATCATTCAAAAACCAGAGTAAAGAAGAGTCATGTTTACTTTGGTTTGTTGCAAAGATACTGGGGTAAATCTGTTCTCAGAATTTAAGCAGTTACTCTGCCAGGCCGGGACCTCATTTTTGGTGAGTGGAGTGATATATTTATTCATTAGCAAGTGTTGACATTAGGTAGCAAAATGTGTATAAACAGAGAAGCCACAAAGACAGGAATGTGCCATTTCCAAGGGGGTGGGGGGAAGAAATGTTCTTAAAATCAGCCAATAGGAAGTGATTAACCTGCCAAGGGAAATCCAAACAGCTGGTTACTCACCCAAAAGGTTTTGTTTAAAACAAAACAAAAAAGGGTAGGAAAAAAAAAAAGACCATGTTGTGTAAGAAGGTGAGGTTGGTGACAGATGAAGCCCCCTTGAGGAATAGTTCCAGCATGCAGCTGGACATTCAGGTCTAGGACTTGGAGGGCAGAGGGACAGGTTTGGGACTGGTTTTTATGGTGGTTAGGTTAGAGGGGCGAACTGCTTTGGGTTTTTGTCCCCACCTAGGGCTTTGGGGGCATGTTGTGTTGGGCATGGCAATTTACATTTTTCAATTGCTGACCCTTTGGTTGAATGTTTGGTCTTGGGGTACTAGGTGCAACAGGTATAAGGTTTAACCATGGGCACCTGTTAAAGAATCTTAACCTGTTTCACAATTACGGGAATCTGTGCATGAAAATCTCCAGCTTGGGAAGAGGCTGTGGGAATGGGGTGGGGCACTGGCTGGGTAAAGCTGGGAGCGCAGTTGCCTCCCTGTAGCCTCTGCAAGGTCCTGGGCTTTGTACAGCAGATATTGTGAGTCTCTTAGAGAAGTCCTAAGCAAAGGAGCGATAGATGCGCCTGAACCTCAGCAAGGTGGCCGTGAGTCTTGGACATCAGGAAGATCCTCCTGCCTTCCTGTCCCAGAAGAATAAAAATTTGCTAGGGTCTTAGATCTCAGTTTATGATGTGGGAATGCTGGATACACAGCAGTTCTGCTTCTTTTGTGTGCTGTATCTGTGATCTGAAAGGTGTGAAGAATAGCTGGGCTGGAGACGGATGCTGCGTTTCCTTGGGCGGGCGAACCCAAGTGCCCAGTGCCCATTAGACTGAGCCTCCATAGCTTAGTAGACATCTTTTTTTTTTTTGAACCGGGGATTGAACTCAGGCCCTTGCACTTGCCAGGGAAGTGCTTATTCCACTGAGCCACTCCCTGGCCCTTAGTAGACATCTTGACCTAAGATCTGGCCTTGTTTTTGCCACTTAACTTAGGCCCCTTTTAACTTTTCCAGGTTTCATTGTAAGTCCAAGCGATGAAAGAGTTCTGTTGGATTATCCATTCATTGCTTGGGTTATTGGTTCATTCATTCATTGGTTCATTCATCATCGGTTGATTCACAGGTGGAATGATGTGCCTGCCAAAAAGCTAGAGGATTTCCAACACAGCACAGTGTTTTGTGTATAGGGTTCCTTTGAGTTCTGGGTGGGGTAAACCATGTGGGCAAAGTTGAGGGGTATACTGATAATGGTAGTGGTAGTGTTGGCAGACTCCTGACCCCAGGAGTACTTGGGAAGCTCCAAACAAGGTTGACAACCTGCCCTGGCTCTGGGTGAGAGCAGTTTGGTGAGACTCTCTCAGCAGTTCAGGCTGGGGTTGTTTCCCTGGCTTGGATTTTCAAAGACTGTAGGAACTAACCTGAGTTGGAACAGCTGGGAGGAAGGGATGAATCTTTGTCTCCCGCAGGGCCTTGCCCTTACCACGGTGGTTGGTAATACTAGTGGTGGAGGAAAGCCAGGAATGGCCAAGGGCTGCTGACTATCTGCCAGCCTGGGCTGTTGGAGAGCAGGAAACAGAGAGGCAGAGGTGAGACCCTGACTTTAGAGAGATCCGCCTTTGTGGAGTTGTTTATTTTTATTTTTTACTTTTTTTAATTTATGGGAAAGATTTGGAGGCCTGAATCCCAGTAGCTCGAGGCTAGTCAGGATGCTGAAGACTGTCATTCTCCAGTCACCTCCATCACCTCCCGTGGCTTGCCTGGAGAGAGAGCCATGGGATAGACAGGAGCTGGACTCTTGGGTTGCTAGTATTTTTGTTGTTAATGCTCCAGGAGTCAAACTTAGGACCTTGTGCTTGCCAGGCAGGTGTTGTGCCACTGAGAACTATATACCTGGCCCGATCCTTGGGGATAGCCCACCTCACTGGGTGGCCCCTTGAACAGGCAGGTTGCCTCAGTTTACCTGGGTGATGTGAAACAGGTATACTTTGCTACCTCACTGGGGTGGTATCGAGGCCTAATTATCGTTTGTAAATCCCTTCTGAGATCAAAGGCGCTGTAGAAGGGCAGAGCACCATTTCATAAAAACGCCTGCGGTTGCCAGCACGGAGCTGGCTTCCCTTTGATGTGAGGCAGGCTGACACCCGGCCTGTGGTCTCAGCTCTGCCCGGAGAGGCCAGGCTTTTTCTTTGAAACACACCTTGCCCTGGCACCCAGCCAGCCAGAGCTGGGGGGAGTGGCTGTGGATAAGTCATAGTGTTTAATGTAGGGGTGTCTTCCGTTTGGGGAGTCAGTGGAGGAGGGGGATAAGAGGCCTAGCTCTAGAAAATGGTGAAGGCCATCAGAGTAGTTTAGAAAGTGCAGGGCATACACTATTTAACAAGTAACTCTGTTTCCTGGCTTCTATTGTTTTCTGTTTGATTAAGTGTATCCTGTAAAGCTGTATATTCCTGTTTGAAATTATACTTTTCCCTGATGAAATGAGATTACACACAGTCTTCTCTATCCTGCCTTTGGCCACCACTCCTGCCTACTCCTTCCCTGTTTTATGAGAGTTTTCTTCCTCTTTTTTTTTTTTTTTTTTGGAGTGTGGGGGATTGGCCCCAGAACCTGGAGCATGCAGGCAAGTGTATCTACTACTGAGGTGTACTTCTTCCAAAGTTAATCCAGCTATCCAAGAATGCAGGAGAAGGTGGAAAGATTTGAGGGAGAATCACAGTTTTGAGGAGGCAGACAGAGACCCAGAGACAACTGGGGGGTGTGTAGTTTAGGCTTGGCTGCCTACCCTCCCTTGCCAGGTGCTAGGTAGTGACTGCCAGCCACGGGGTCCTCTAGGCTGCTGGCCTTTGGGCTGCTCTTTGGCTTGGCTTCCTATTTACCTGTGTTGCCAAGGGGCTCTAGTTGGAAACTGGTACTGTATACCAAGGGACACCAAGGTGGTGGCCTGGTAGCCTAAGGTGGGGGAACTGGAGAGTACAGGAACCAACCTGTTTTGTCTGGGATGAACATTCCTGAGCCAGGCTTTCTACATGGACTTCAGGAAGTTTAGCATTGGCAGTGGTGTGTGAGGAACTCACAGGGTCTTGTGTATTTGTGTTGGGGCAAATTAGCTGTGGTGTTATTTCTTTTAGTTGCTTGGAAGGTGGTTGTGGAGTAAATCTATCCCCATTAACATTGAGGTTGCTGTGCTGAATACCTGAGAGTGACAAGTGTCAGGAGAAAGCTAGTCAGGACAGACAGAATCTGGTAGTAAAAAATCAGTGGATATAGTCCAATCACATTGGACTGAGTGCCAGAAGATTTTGTAGGCAGCCCTGCAGACTGAGAAGATTTCCAGTGACAGAGGAGTGTGGACCAGTCTGAAAGCAGAGTCTCCCCCAACCCCATGGTTCTAGCTTGATCTGGTGGTGCTTGCTCAGGTGCATGCATGAGAAAAATTCAGAAACCTCTTGAAATTTATGTAGTTTGCTAAACTTCAGACAGGGGGTTTTAAATAGGATCTTGCTGTGTAGGCCAGGCTGGCCTCAAAACTTGCAGCCTGGTATGTTTGCTATAATTAAAATGTACCTAAATTAAAAAGGAAAGGTCCTCAAAAGCTGAGAAGTTTGTTTCAAAGATGAGGATGAGCTGAGTGTGGTGGTACATGCCCCAGCAGTCTGGGAGGCAGAGGCAGGAGGATCACAAATTCAAGCCTACCCTGAGCAATTTAGTGATTTGGCTAGACTCTGTCTCAGAACAAAACAAAAAACTAAAAGGCCTGGGGAGCCAGGCATGGTGACACTCACCTGTAATCCCAGCACTTGAAAGGAGGCTGAAGCAGGAGAAAATTGGTGAGTTCAAGTTCAGCCTGGGTTACGTAGGGAATTCTTTGCCACCCTGAACTACATAAAGACCCTGTGTCCAAAATTTTAAAGAAAAATGTGCTGGGAGATAATAAATCCATACGAAGGTTCTAGGTTTATTTTTTAAAAATGTATTTATTTGTGGGGGGGGCCCAGCCAGCTCAGCCCACCAGGGGGCGGGGCTGGCTGGCATGTGGTGCTGGGGGATTGAACCGTGGTCCCTGTGCTTTGCTAAGCTTGTTCTAAGTAGGTGCTTTAGACCACTGAGCCGTCTCATCAGCCCCAAAGGTTCTAGGTTTAAATCCTGCTGGGATGGGAGGAGGGGTGATCAGGGTGGAACTTTTCTCTATGGGTGTAGCAGAGGCCAGGGCTTCCAAGCCAGGATTTGTGCCCTTGGTAAGGTAAAGACAGAACAACCAGGGTTAAGAAAAAGTATACTCCAAATCTTCTTTGACCTTGGGAACCACCTGGTCTCCTCAATGGGAGACTTGTAATACAAGAGAAATTCCAACCGGTGTGATTGAGCCTGACTTGACTAATGATTAACTAGCTGCCTGGAGCCCAGACGGGTGACAAGGTGCTGTGGTCTGTCTTAGGATGGGCAGTGAAGCCAAGCAGACCATTAATAATCAGCATCGTGGCCACAAGTAAGCCTCTTGGAATGTGTGGTCTCTCTTTCATGCCATTTAGAATGTGGGTAAAGATGAGTCTCAGTGTTTTTATTTGTGTATTTATTTGTTTCTCTCCCTTTTTGAATCCACAGCAGACTGTCCAGATGCTGTGCCTTCCTCCGCTGAAACAGGGGGAACGAATTATCTGGCCCCTGGGGGGCTTTCAGGTAAGATGCTTTCTCTTACTTCCTGACAGTTCCAAAGGTTTCTAGAAGTTTCTGTAGACTGAAGACTGTTCTGGGATTCATTGTCATTTTTATGTGCCTTAAACTGGATGCATTGTGACTGGTGCCCTTCTCATCCTGTGGGCCTTTATGCATCAGAACCCTGGGCCCATCCCCTGCACAGAGAACCTGGAGCCCGCAAAGTTTCTAGTGCAGGGGACTTACACTTGGTGACTTTGGTGTCATGAGCTCATGCATTTTGCTCTTGTTTGTTGTGCATGGGATGCCTTGAAGGGGATGACTTGTTCTTGTTGAAAACAGATCCCCAAGGGCATAGCAGAGCACAGAGTGGATCTTAAACCTCCCCTCCACATCCTGATTACCTTTCCAGCTTTGTGCATGATTCTCCAGCACTTGTCTGGGGGTGGCTCTCTGTGTGTGTGTGTGTGTGTGTGTGTGTGTGTGTGTGTGTGAGAGAGAGAGAGAGAGACAGAGACAGAGACAGAGAGACATGGGGGCATTTTGGAGACGGCAGGCGCTATAGCTGCTCCCAGCAAGGCAGGTTTTTCTCACTGTTCATAAGGAATTTACTGACTACATAACTAGGAGGTGTTATAGTAACTGGGAGGTGTTGTATTCTTCTTTTTTGTTTTTATTTATTTTTTTTTGGTGGAACCGGGGATTGAATTCAGGCCCTTGCACTTGCCAGGGAAGCGCTTATTCCACTGAGCCATCTCCCCAGCCCTTAATACAAGTTACTTTTTTTTTTTTTTTTGTGGAACTGGGGATTGAACTCAGGCCCTTGCGCTTGCCAGGGAAGCGCATATTCCACTGAGCCATCTCCCCGGCCCTACGTTGTATTCTTTTCTAAAGATAGCGTATTTCTTCCTGTTTTCCCTGTTGTTAGATTTTCTAAGAACTAGCTGAAGCAAGAGGGAAAATGACCTGGGGGGTGGGGAACAGAAAGAAATTTTGCCAGATTCTGGGTGTCAGGCAGTTTTTGTTGTGGGCCATTCGTGTTAGTGAGGACATGGTGTAGCTGCTTGGATGGAAGCAGTGAAATTGCTGTGCACCCTCTTTCTCGTGGGGTGACCCCCTTGCTTTGGACAGTCTCCTCTCCAGCCCAGCCCTCCAGGAATTGACTTGCTGAGAATGTCTATAGGGAGACCCTTGTTTGTTTTGGTTTCAGTGCAATATATGCTATGCTATCTAGGATAGAGGGTATTGCTTGTGCAAAGCTTCTAATGAGAGCTGGCCAGGAAAAGATAACCCCAGTGGGGAGTGGGGTTGGGTGGGTGGGAGTGGGGTTGGGTGGGTGGGGTTGAGGTTGGGGGGGTGGGGGGGTGGGCAGACCTCAGTGATGGAGAAGGGAGGCAGCAGGCACAGAGGCACAGTCACAACGGGTGGACTGCAGCTTTCCAAGGGAGTTGAGCGAGTCCTTTAAAGACAAGGAGGATGAGGAGAAGAGCCTTGGCAAAATAACACTCAGGATGTTGTTAGATGGTTTTATTTTTTGAACCCTGGGTGTGCAGGGAGGAGGCCTGGCCCCTCCAAACCACATGAAATAAGCAAGGGAAGTGGTAGCTTTTGAAAGGGGCTTTTCGGAAGGTTTGTCTTATTGATAACATCTTGTCTGTCTCCTTTGCTAGAGGAAATGACGACACCAGGCTGAGCCTGAGTGCCTCCTTGACCTGCTCAGGGTGCCACTCAGTGTGACTTGGGCAGCCCCACTAAGATGGGTGAGCTTTGTGCTCCCTAAAGTTCTTGTAGTCCTAGAAAGAAAGTGTGTGTGAAGGGGGAGGTAAAGCAAGCTCCATCCCCTATGGTAATTGCAGCCCCTAAGATTAATCAGGAGTTCCGAAGGAGGAGTGAGTGGTATGTTTCTGAAGGGGTGGTGTGGTTTAACAAAACTGCAAAAAGCAGAAAAAAGGGGGGGGCCTCCACATGAAAGAGCATTTGTTTTGAATTTTAGCTCTTGATTTACTAATTCCCAAGGCTTCAAAGTTGGAGCTCTTTCTTCTTTCCGTGTGTAGTTGGAGCCATGTATTAATAATGTGCCGCGGGGGGGAGGTTGTAGAAACTGCTTCTTGGGCTTGTGCCAGTGGTTTGGGGGTGTCTAGCAGAGAGTTGAAGAGCACAGAAAATTCTTTGGTGTGAAATCCCCCCCAAAGGTGACTCTTTATGGCTGGCTAGCTCAGGGGTAGACGGTTTTATACGTATTCAAAGCTAAGATCTCCTTTTCTTTAAAAAGTTGGTGGTTGGAGGGGGCTAGCTTAGCCCTCATCTTTGCAGAAGATGAGGCAGTGGGGGTGCAGTGGCAGGACCCCACGGGGAAGGAGTTGGTATAGCAGATATGGGGTGAGGGGGTAGCTGGGCCTTGCCAGGAGAGCAGGACATCTAGTGAAAACACCCGCAAGGGATTTCTCTTTCCCCTCCCTTGAAATAACCTCTCTGAGTCTCTTTCACAGGCCCTGTGTGCTGTTTTCCTTCCTGTCCTGCCCTGGCTGAGACCGGGCTTAATGAATGGGGCTCAGTTTAGGGTGGGAGGAAGGTCGGCAGCGGGAGCCAGGGCTTGATTCTCTTGGCAAGGGAAGAAGGGAAAGAAAAAACAGCCAAATGTGAAAATGTGGTGGCTTGGAGGTGGGGGTAGGGTGTGCTCAAAGGCCCAGCTCCTCCTGAAACTCAGGGGTAACTCCAAGGCTGGCCCTTCCCTTTCCTGCGCCCGGAGAGGAAGGGGAGTGGGTGGATGGGAGCTCTGCACACAGGACTGCTGGCTGCAGGCTGGAATTCCAGCCCTGCCACTTGGGGTGGGGGGTGCAGGAGGCCTGGTCCTTCGGGACTTGTAGTGAAACACACCCCACCTCTGCAAGTTTCCTCCGTCTGGGAAAACGGGACATTTTTAGAAGGCAGTGACTTGGTTCCAGGAGATTGTACTTTCATTTCTGACAGCCGGCTCTCTCTCAGACAGATGGATTGCTCTGTGCAAGTGTGCGTGTGCGTGTGTGCGCGCGTATGTACGTGTGCATGTGCGCACGCGCCCAGACAGTCCCGTGTACAGACACTTGAGCACACAGATGCCTGCAGGCAGGCTCTGGGATGGGCTGGGGTCGCTGTCCCAGGAGATCTGTTGACGTCAGGGCAGCCTCTTCATAAGGATGTGGCAGGGATGGTATTTGTGGACTGATCCTAAACTATGATTTGGCAGCCTGCATTCAACTGTCTGAGCATGGGCAGCTTCTGAGTGACATGCAGCTGCAGATCAGGCTCTTGTTTTTTGAACCCGAGAGTGTCGTGGCTCAGGTGGACCCACCTCGGCAAGGTCTGATGTAACTGGGATGCGCCTAGGTTCAGTCAGTGGGAGAAAAGGAAAGGATTTGCTCCCAGAGCCTTCATTGCATTGCTAGTAATGAAAAGCATGTGTTCAAAGCTGTCATCTTTGCAGCCTCCATCTGGAGTTTCTGGGGGGCTTGCTCCTTGACTGTCTGCTGTCCTGGTTTGTGTGCAGAGAAGCTTTTTTCCGTGTTCTATTCTAGGGTTCTCGGATGCAGACTCATCCTCCAGCTGCCTTCTTGAGATATAAATGTCTGGGTGGCACTGCCAGGGGCTCAGCTCGTTGGACCTCCCCAGTCAGAGCAAGATTGGGAGGACAAAAAAGATGTCCCCATGGATTTCAGGAGGGCACTGAAGGCAAATCTGGTCTGAGAGTTGTGGGGAGAGATAGGAGAACTTCATCTGTCTTTGCAGCCACACTTACTGGGAGGGAACAACATCCTTTCCCTTTTGCTAAGGTCTTAAGATCCACAGTTGGTGGATCCTGAGTCCTGAGCTTTTGGTTCCTGAGTCTGGGAGGATTGCCCTTGGGTCAGCATCAGCATCTGCCTGTCCTGCTCTTTGATCCTTGCTGGCATCTTGTCTTAGCCTCAGAGAAGAGCCTTCAAAAATACCTATATAATCTGAAAATGCCACCCTGGTTTTAGTCCATGGCCGACTTGGGCTCAAACCAAGTAGCTTAGGAAAGATTGCTCCATCTGTTTTAAGAAAAGTTAATACAATGGCATGTGAACAATTATTTATTGTCTCTCTTGGAATTGTGATAGCAACTAGGAATCTGGGGCTGGGTGCCTGTTGCTGTGTTTTCAGTATCTCCTCCCCTGCCTGGGAACAAGTAGCTTCTGGTTTTACTGAGATTCTGTGGGATGGGGGTGGGGGAGAGCACAGGACAGACTGAGGTTGCAGCCAAGCTGGCCTTTCATCCAGGTGACAAGGAACATGGGTTTTGGGATGATCCAGTGGGCTGGAACAGAACTTCTTCCTCATGCACCCCATCACTTGGCCCACTGTGAGAAAGGACGCTAGCAGAACAACCTCCTGTGGTTCACACCGTGTACAGACCAGTCCTGGACAGCAGCTCAGGCTGTGTACAGATGCCGTCTCTAGAGCCTGAGGTCACGTACCCACCCCTGGAGGATTCCCTTTTGTCCTGGAAAGAATGAGGCAGTCATGCAGGAGTTAAAAACACAGGGTGACAATATTTAAAGTCTCTGGAGCAAATTTGAGCTGCTGTGCCTGCCAGACTAGATGGGCTGCTGCCTTATGCATCCTATCCCAGGCAGAAGTGGGCTGGCCAGTGAGGGGGAAGGGGGCCAGGGGAAGGCCTGGCCCTGGTGGTGTAGCTTTTGGCTAGAGTCTGGCGCACTGACTCCTCTCAACTCCACTTGGGCCTTTTCTCAGCAGAGCCTTCTAAACCTATGGGGCCTCTGGCAAGCTCAGAGCCAGGGGCAGTGAAAAGAGAGGAAGTGCCAGAGGATTCATGATCAAGTTGGGCTTCCTTTGCTTCTTTATTACTGCTGTTACTCAGTGATGGTGTTCCTCGCAGTATGGTGATGGCTCGGCTGCTCTTGGTTCACTTCAGTCTAGGACCTTGAACTTGTAGCACCTTTGAAATAGGCGTCATAACCCAGCAGAACTTTTAAAGAGGCAGAGGGTATTAGTTCCTGGACTTG